AGGTGGACCCTGACCTGATCATGATCGCATTTCCATGTGGTCCCTGGTCCGTAATGCAGAACATCAATCAGCGGACACCAGCACAGCGGCGAGCTCTTAGGTGGAAAAGGGCCATCGCTCGAAAGACCGTCCTAGCCTTCACTCGGAGGGTTGCTCTCTGGCAGAGAGGACGTGGCAAGGCGGTCGTGCTGGAAAATCCCGCTTTAGCCAAATCGTGGGATACAGAAGAAATCTCGGAGGCTATCGAGGGGCTGGATTTCGCCCGATTTGACCAATGCCGATTTGGCCTACGGCATCCCGTGAACAAGATGCCGATGAAGAAGCTGACTCAGGTCGCAGGCCAAACGGAAGTGATCCAAGAACTGAAGGAGGCACGCTGCCTAAGAGATCACCAACACCACCCCATAGAGGGTGGATTCAAAGGGGCGGATGGCAAGTGGCACAGCTTGAGTGAGCACGCGGGAGGCTACCCGGCTGAGCTCTGCCACTGCATCCTCAAGGGAGCCGAGGCATTTTGCCGTTCACAGGAGGCCCTTATTGGGGGTGGAGATGACTATGAGTTTGATGATACAGCGGCAGAGCTGCAGGACGGTGACGAAGCCCTCAGAGAGGAGGAACAGCTTGCCGAGCAAGAGGAGTTTCAGGACGACCCAAACCTGAAAGACAAGGATCTCGAGGAGGAAGAGAGGCATCCAGTCTCCGCAGAAGTGAGGAAAGCGGTGGAATTCACCCACCGCCAGCTTGGTCACCCATCGAGATCAACGCTCCTACGCATGATGCGGTTGAGTGGAGCGAGTAGTGAGGCCATCCGCTATGCAAAGCGATGGCGGTGCGATGTGTGTGCACAGAGGCAGCGACCTCGCCATCCGATGGCTTCGACTGCAACGACACGACCCTACGGGTTCAACCATCACCTGCACATCGACCTGAAGTTTGTCCACGATGTGAGGGCAAAGAGATATGCTGTGCTGTCAATGTTGGACCTGGGGACCAACAAGCACGACTGCGTGATGGTCAAGACCCGGCGCAGTGATTATGTGGCTGGCAAATTCATCCGCCATTGGTGCATGAGGTACGGAGTACCAGCTCGCATCACGCACGACCAAGGTGGTGAATTCGAGCAATCCTTCACAGCAGTGCTCGAGCAGTTTGCCATCGACTCCGATGTGACTGCAGCCCACGCTGGCTGGCAGCTGGGCGCAGGCGAGCGCCATGGAGAAATCCTCGGAGTAGCCTTGCAGGCTATAGTGGATGAGCACTCTGTGGAAGGATACAGAGCTATGAAGCTGGCCCTAGCAGCGGCTACGATGGCGAAGAACGCCACCATTACCCGTGATGGGTATACACCCAACCAACGAGTCTTTGGGGTTGAGGTGAAGTGGCCGAGCCTCCTGGCTGAAGAGGTGGAGCCTTCATTTGCAGAAGGAGTCAATACAGACTCCGAAGTGGCTAGGGCGCATCAAATGCGCACCACGGCTCGTATCGCGCTCATCAGGAGTGACGTCCGCGAGAAAATGAAGAGGGCGATCCTGAGAAAACCGGCCACATCCCAGGGGCCATACGCTCCAGGAACGCGGATCTACTTTGGGTACCAGGGGTGAAGTCCCGGTACAGTTCCCGCGGAGGCACATGGCGTGGTCCGGCGACCATCCTGATACAAGAGCGGGCGAAGCGATACTTTGTATCTTGGCGAGGTCGACTTCTCCTACTGGCAGAGGAGAATCTCCGACTCGCGACGCGGGAGGAGTTAGCACTCACGGAGGAAATCAAAGATGAAGTCCTTGACCTTCAGGACATGCTCCGAGATCCGATGAGATCCAATGCCTATAGAGACCTCAGAGATGCAAAGCCACCTCCAAGGAGGCAACATAAGCGAAGAGCACCGGCTGCGCCGGAAACTATGGAAAGGAAGCGTGCCAAGCTCATGATGCGAGGCACGAAGTCGGTGCAGAAGCTTTTGCAGGATGCTGGAGCTGGAAAGGAGTTCAGGAAGAGAATAGCTCGGCAGCGACGCGGCCAGAAAAGGAAGGCAGTGAAGATTTCAGAGCCGCCTGCACCGAAAACGGCAGAACCTTTACCGGCGGAGCCGGAGGAGAAGTCAGAAGGCTATGACCCGAGCATAGCAGAGGATCCGGTAGAGGAAGGCCCTAGGCCGGAGGAGCCGGAGGCGCCGGACACAGTTGAAAGACCTGAGGATTCGGAAGCTCCGAACGAAGGTGGGGCACCCGAGCTCCAGGAAGAGCCAGGTGAGGACGCTGAGGTGGCACCAGAAGATGTTCCAATCGAAGGGGACGAAATCACTGAAGAGGATGGTGAGGATGGTGACCCCTCACGGTTAGATCCCCTGCGGCTCATCCGAGAGCGTGCCAGTAGGGAATGGCAAGGTCTTCCGCCAGAGGCGAGACGTCAGAGGTTGAACGACGATGTACCTCTGTCTTTAAAGAGGAAGATCGCAGAGCGACGTGATTTGGATGACACTTTCGTCCCGGAGAAGCGCCAGAGGGTGAGTGACTCCCTGGTGGCTCAGGTGATGATGGGCACTTCAGAAGACGGACCGTCCAATGAATGGGTTAGCCGATATGAGCTTACGCTGCTGAGGCAGTTGACAGGGCTGCCAATCTGTGCTGCGCGGTTGCACCGTGCTCCAAGAAAGAGGTTCATGAAACCTCCAAAGATGGTGTCACGGTCTCGGTTGACCATCATGATCGGAAGAGACCCCGTAGACGCCTTTGTGGTCTCCGAGAACCCTGAGGAAGTAGCGGCCAATCCGAGACGCAGGTCATCCATCGAGTGGAAAGGAATGACCATGTTTGCCAAAGCTGCGCCTGAAGATAAAAGGGCACGGATGTACCCAACATACATCCAAGGTGCTCAAGGTCTTTATGAGGCCAGTCTGACCTACGAGGAACGCAAGGCGTTCGAAGAGATCTGGGTTGAGGACACCAGGAATTGCTTGGTGGCAGAGATCATGGCTTTGAAGCTCAAGGCCAGTGGCAAAGAACTCAATCCAAAGGCTTTCGAGAAGGATGAATGGGAAAAGTTCAAGGTCTCTGACCAGAGAGAATGGGAACAGTGGATCGACAACGCTGTCATGAGAAGAGTTCCCAAGGAAGAGGCGGCGTCCATTCCAAAATGGAAGGTGTTCAAGTCCCCACTCCGAATGGTCCGAACGAACAAGAGTGGTGGAGTGCTGTTACCTCTGATCGCAAAATCGCGATTAGTGGTGCCAGGTCATTTAGACCCTGGCCTGGGTGCGTTTCGCACCGATGCACCAACTGCGGCCTTGACGCCGACCCGCTTGGCAAAAGCGGTGGCAGCCGGAAGGGGCTGGCAAGGTTGGAGTTTTGACGTGACGACGGCTTTCTTGTCAGGAGATAGCACCAGCCGTGAGATCTACGTCAGAGCCCCGGAAGAAGGCCTGCCGGCCGCGAGAGGAGAGCCTCCGGTAGAACCGTTCGAGCTGCTCCAAATTTTGAAGTCCGCCTATGGACTGACTGAAGCCCCAAGGCTTTGGTATTTGCGGGCTTCACGCACGATCCAAAAGACCCCTCTCAAGGAGCTGGCTGCAGCCAAGGCAGTATTTGTGGCCGCGGAGAAGGGAGTCTCGTGGGCGATCTTGGTGCTCCACGTGGACGACGGCCTGCTGCTAGGGTCTGATCAGGATGTGCGATTTCAACGGTTGAAGGAACAGATCAATGGACTGTTCCGAATCAAAGAGTGGAAGACCGTTCCACTCACATTTCTGGGAGTGAACCTGGAGAAACAGGGTGACACGTGGGTTGACGACATGTCGGCCTATATCAAGGCGATCAAGATCCCAGAGATCCAAAAGAAGAAAGATGACATCCCACTGGATGCTCAGGAGCTGACTGCCTTTCGGCAGCTCGTCATGCGCCTTCGGTGGCCTGCACAGCTGGCTGCGCCCCAGCTATTGTATGAGGTGTCACTTTTGGCACAGAAAGTTTCTAAGGCGACGCACAAGGACTTCAAGGACGCCTTGGCGTTGCATGCCAAGTTCCTGACGGAAGTGGATGAGGGTAGAGCTGCGCTCAAATACCCAAGGATGAATGGCGTGCCATATCTGGTGACGTATTTCGACGCGTCACTCGGCCGAGAGCCCGAAGGACGCTCTCAACTGGGAGCCATTCATTTCCTGACTGATGAGGGAGTGATTCACGGGCCGCGCCCAGCTGCCGTGGTGGAGTTCACAACCACCAAGTCCACCAGAGTTGTGAGAAGCTCAATGGCAGCAGAATCTTGCAGCCTAAGCGTGGCTGTGGACCGCCACATGTATGCAAGGCTGATCCTCGACATGATGCTGAGAGGAACATACGAGGTCAAGCCTACTTGGCGTACAGATTGCCAAGTCCGTGGTGGTTTGGTCACAGACGCCAAAAGTCTGTATGATCATATGTCCACGACAGGACAGATCCCTCAGGAGAGACAGACGATGCTGGACCTCCTTGCTGCTAAGAGCCTGCTGGAGCAAGAAGCCTTTCGGCTCTTTTGGGTGCCCACACATAGGCAGTATGCCGATGTCCTTACAAAGAAAATGAAGGACCTACTGTGGATGGAGTTCATCCAAACGGGTACCATCTCGCTGCGCGAGACCCCAGCAGAGAAGGCTCTGGAGGAGCATCGTAAGCGCCTTCGACAAGGTCAACGGCAGCGCCGGAAGACCAAGTTCAAGGCTGCAGCTGCAGCCACTAATTCGTGACGGCCACGCCAACACTCTCTTTTTGGAATGTGAAACATGGTGAGTGGTTTGGCATGGTGGCATACATGCATGTTTTTGTCTGCTAGCATTTTCACCTATTTCTTTTGCCGTGGCCGTTTGTACAGCTTGGCCCAAGTAATAGCTTTTCGCATTTGCACCAGACGCTTCTGAGAAAACAGGCCGCTGCCTCTTGACCTTTAGCCTTTGTCGCTGACGCTACCCAGCGCTCCGCACCCGTGATTTTCCTATGCATTTTTTTTTTGAAAGTCCCAACCTCGCCCAGGAACCCCCAGGAAGGTCTCAACCCAACACCGTGATGCGCTTGGGCCTTCCTGCGTTGAAACCGGAGTCAGCCATGGAGCACATCCAGGACATCCAGGACGTCCAATCGGATGATGAGAAAGGCAGTTCCCCCCGGGCTCACCTTCTACCGCTACCGGGTGGATCAAGCGATGAAGAAAAAAGGAGTTGGATGATTTTACCCAAACATCAATAGTAATGTCAAATGCTAACATGTGCTAACTAACCAACGTGTGGGGACTTTGGATGGTTTCCCCAGAACATGTCATGAAATACATGTGAATGGAGAGAAACGAGGCGAGTTGCTCGGATTTATTTACCATCTTGGAAGATCCTTCCTAACTAGGACTACATTTTCTTGTGGATGGAAACCGCCAATCAGAGAAGTTGATTCTCAAATCTAGTGCAGATGAAGACCATGTGGATTCCAGACGAGTCGATCAGGGCCTCTGGGCAGTTGGTGTTTCGGCCCTTGGCAGGTGAAGGCGGTGAAGTTGCTAAAACGCCTGGGCTCAAGCGTCAGGTCACTGAAACCTTCGCAACATTAAATGAAGTTGATGGGAAGCGCAAGAAGAACATGGTGTGGATTCAAAAGATCCCTGGCAGCCATGGCTAAAGGGCATAGTTCCAAAAAAAGGGAGCTCACAGACAGTCACCATCCAAAGCTGTGGCGTGTCGTCCCATAGACAAACATACTATGCACAAGCACTGCTGGATGCGCTCCTTTGCCTTTCTTTGCATTTCTTTGTGATGTTTGGTCTCTTCTAATAAGACTTCGTCTATGTTGGTTTCTGGTATCCCCGAACCCGGACGTTCGCCTGTGGAAACGAAGCCAGACACACACACACACCAGGATGGATATGATATGCCACTTAACCCCTCAGTGTTTGTTCAGGATTTGGTGGTGACTCACTCGGGGGTGACGGGCTCGGGGTGGGGTCAATTTGGGGTTTGAGCATGTTGCAGTTTCTTTTAGACTCATGGACTTACTAGTATGGAATTCATCTTATCTTCAAACCAACCATGGAATGATGCGAAATGATGCGAAGGATAAGTCTCAAAGTTTCGCCCTCGCGGAGGGTAATGTAAAGGTGTAGTTGCGTCGTGCAGACACAGTGGCACACATTCGTATCCCGAGCACTGGAAAGCATGGCGGAATAACAAGATACAGGAGGATAGACTCAAGATTCAAACTAGATCCCTGTCACCTACTAATTATGTATATTTGTTCAGAATCACAGCCAAGAACACTCAGTATTGGATTTGATGATTTGAGGTCTCATTTCAACTCATTTCGGTGTTTTTGTTCAGATAATGGGGATGGCCTTCACATGTCCGAGGAACCCCAGGGTGAGTGCCTTCCAAGAAGCATGTGATGAACATCTCCCAGTAACGGCGCAAATGTCCCGGAAGCAAAAGCAAGAAGCTGCCGAGGATGGGCATTTTTGTCGGTGAACCCAGGTTGAGTATGGTTGAGTGAGATGTGTTTGAAGAGTTGCTATCCAAGGTCCAGACTTCCTGGTTATGACATGTAAGAAATCTTGGTAAGCAGATGAATAGGAAGTTGGTGACCATGTGGACCAGAGGTCAGTGGCTTTATGGGAGGTGTCATGCGAAGCAGATATTTTAAGACATAATTAATCGATTGTGTAAGAAACGTCCACTGAAAGAAACACTCATGCCATGTTATTTCGACCTAATGTGCAAGTTACGATCTACATGGGACATTCCTGGGGCATCCTGGGGCGTTTCACATGTTTCAACTCTTTGCCTGATGCCACGTTCCTAGCAAAGTGTCACGGCCGTGCAGGATGCGCGGAAGAAGTATGGTGAAGTTGGAGCGTTCCTTGGTATTGACTATAGACATGACTAGGCAACTGAAATTACTGTCACTGAATATTAGTTGGGCATAGGGCCGGAAGGCCCTGAGATTGCCACCTGTTGACCGCCAGCTGCACGGCCCCCACTGGGCAGGTTTGTTCACTTTACACCCGAGCATGTGGAACAAGCAGTGCACAAGGCTGCCTTTGCCAGGTGGGGGTTCAAGCAGTGCTAGGAGATTGATCATCCCAACTTGTGGATGGTCTCACTGAGATGATATAATATAGATAATATATAGATAATATATAGATAATATAGAGATGATATAGAGATAATATAGAGATAATATAGAGATAAAATATTATGAAATATAAAGTAATATGTATATATTTATATAATATGCAACAATGCAACACCATTTATACATAATATATCTTGATGTTTCTGTTGCGAGTTATTGATCCTGGCATAGAATGGCATTCTTTGGAACCGGCAGGTTTTCGCGGCTGGAGGATGAGGTGATGCAGGAGTCAGATTCTCCCAGGTGCTGCCAACGGATCGCCTCAAACCGTTGGTTTGAACGGGTGGCGCTTCTGTTGACTTTGTCAAATGTGATCTATATCTCCGTTGATGTTGAGTTCAACTATTCCGGGCTGGTCACCAGAGCTTCTCCGGGATTCATCGCGGCAGAAAATCTGTTTTGTAGCCTCTTCTTAACGGAGCTGGTAATACGCTTCTTCGCGTATCCACACCGGATGATGGCGGTACGAGATACGGCTTTCCTCTTTGATATGATCCTTGTGGCCATGATGATGCTGGAATGCTGGGTGATGCCTTTGATTGATCTCATGACGGCTGGTGCTAGCAGTGACGTTGCTGAAACATTGTCCATTCTGCGCATTGCTCGGGTGATGCGCATTCTCAGGACAGCACGCATTGCAAAGCTCATCAGATATATGCCCGAGTTGGTGATCCTGTTGAAGGGCATGTTGTCTGCCTGCCGATCAGTTTTCTTCACTCTCCTCCTCTTGTTATTGGTGACCTACGTCTTCTCCATTACGATTACAGAGGTGAGTCGTGGGACCAGCTTGGAAGAGGAACTGCTGCTTGGCGCCAGACATATTTCTTTTACAACAACATGTGTGAATATGCTTGAGTTGATATGATATGTGTACCTAGACCCTCAAGAATTATATACCCCTAAAATCACTTAAATATGGTGGGTGGAAGTATTGGGATTTTGGCGTAAAATACCTATTTCATCCAATTTTTGTGATACATGGAGGGTCTAGATATACATACCTTACATAAATTTGTTGACTGCATATGTATAAGTTGCATGTATTCACTCACAAATATGAATACATGTCGTGTATAAACTGTATACAACTTGTGTTCCCTTCCACGCTCGCACTGACATGGTACTGCATATCCAGTGACCGCAAACTACTTTCCCAGAGCTTTGCAGACTTGCAATTGTTTGTGCCAATGGATGCCAATTCTAGCATTTATCATTCATCATCATTTATTATCTATGCATCATTTCCATTCATCCAATATCCAATAGCACAGGAATGTAATCTTCATCAGTACGCCGCACCTGACAGCACCCCACTCCACCGCATCCCATCCGCGGGAGCAGAGAATACGCTTGCAGGAGGGAAACTATCGAACATTGAAGAATTACATAATATGCATTATTAATTGTTAGTATATATGTATATAATTGTGTATTGTGTATATATATATATATTCTATCTATCTGTATATGATTATGTATATATATATGCAATATACTTGGATGGTTGATGCAGCGATGTATCTGTAAAGCAAACGTAGACACTCACACATAGATAACATGTAGTTGTATATGTCTATGTGATACGCAAATCATTGTAATATATCTCTATCACTATAACTATCTATAACTATAACTGTAACTATATATATACAGTACATGTTATGTGGCACGTAAATAGACAATAAGTGAGCGAGTATTTAATATGTGTGTATATGTCAAATTATGTATTAGATATAATGAGGCATTGTATGTGCATACGCCTCCAAACTTTAAATTTACGTTGAATGTGTGGCACCTGAGGTTTTCGGGGATGTGGAATACAATCTTGACACTCATTGTTCAGTGCGTGATGCCCGACCTGGAATCGCGCTTCAAAGCGGCAGCCCTTGAGAATTGGTTCGTAGGACGGGCTGAACTTTCACTTGGAATTGTTGAACATATTATGTATTTGCAGGATTGCTATGCATTGTTGCACAGAATTGTTTTTGCCTTGCTTTTATCGAGGCTAGAGCAAAATCCTCCCATTGGCTTTGATTCGTTTTCCTGAAAATAGCATTCTGCCGCAGTGAGTTTCCACAAGCTTTTGCATGACATGCAGCACGTGCGACATTGTGCGACTGGGACTTTGAGATACTTTGAGAGGAGTGCTGTGGTTGATCTTCATCATGTTCGGGACCTACATCATAATGGGACTTCTGGTGCCTTGCCTAACAAGCGGCACTAAGCAGAGGACCAACCACTTGCAGGAGCCGTATCCAGCGATCACTGGGAAAGTGGGTTGGGTCAAGTAGTCCCACTTCAAGCTGGATCTGGAAACCGGCCAAGTGGGGGTGCTTCTCACTTTCATCTCACTCCCATCTCATTCTCCTGTTTTCATCAATTTTCAATCATGTTCTTATTCTTTGTGTTTGACAAACATGATTCTCAGACAAACATGTGTCCGAATTTGTCCGCGTTTGCTTTAAGCTGCACCGCAAGCGTGCCTCCAAGGTTGGTATTTTGGTGGAGACGGTTAAAACCGTCGCCACTTTCGAACGAAAACAGTTTGAAGTTGACTTTGCCCAGAATGTCCTTTGGGAGCTGATCACAGAGACTTGTGCCTTGGGAGCTGATGTTACGGCCTGCTAGAGGTTTCCCCCGAAAAACTTCTTTGTAGAGCCCATCAGTTTCTGCAAACTTCACTATTTGTTCCATTTTTTAATGATTTCAATGAATTTGGTAAAAATTTGCCAACACTTCTGACGCATCCCAAATGATTCGACCCATTATCGTCAGCTTTTGTCTCGGACCTATTGCTGAAGGAAGTGACATGGTGTTTTGGATTTGTCCAAAACTGGGCTATGCTGCAAACCCAGGTGAATTCACGTCCACTGGTCAAACTTCGCAATTAAAGGGCGATTTTAAGTTGCTAATGCCTCAAAATATGAGTCTCACCAAGAGCCCATTGCGATCCCATTGCGGGGCTTGCCGTGTTACTGAAGGTGCAGATGAAGATGGTGACAATCGCATTTCACATCAAGAATTTGCTCGATTGTTGTCAAGGTGCCATGACGTCTTCCTGATCCACAAATCCATGGATTTGCCTAAAAATGGATGAATTTACGCGGACGTATGGCTATTTTCATGGGGGAAAACATATGATATAATTACCATGGAATTTGTGGGGTGCGTTTTTTTTCACCCAGCATCTACATGATGAGGCACTTGAAACCACCAGATTTTACAAGTGAGCACGGATTCGTTCCTTCCACAAAGCCGTTGTGAATAGGGCAGACTGGAGGCTGAGGAGGGTTCACCAGACGGACGAACATCATAGTGTTGCCGCGGTGACAAAATCGTCCTTGATGTTGGTTGAATACAAGTGTTGAAGTTTAATCACACAAATTCTCCAGCTTTAAATGGTGACATCCCCAGTCTGTTTTTCCTTCACATGCCCAGTTTTGCTGGTTAAAGCAATGTTCTTGAAATCAAATTACATCCCAGTGGTGCTGCTGATTTTTGCCGTATTGTGTAGAGGCCAGAAGCCACGAAAGCTTTAAACTCATTGGGTGTGGACCTTTCTGCTGCCTTGGAACCTTGCACCGTGCACTGCAGGGTGGGGTGGTAAATTCATGATTGAGGTTTTTGTCCCTCAAATCACCCATCTGTAACAGTACATGGATCAAGCCGCACTCCTTGGACGTCCTTCTATTGAAGGCTCAGATGATTTGTGTTCCTTGCTCTGGTGAACAAAGCGATCCCAATGAGCCAGTGGATAGTTGCTTTTCTGTCAGGAATTCGCTGTGAATGAAACTCCTCATTGATCCACATGGTCGGAAGAGTTTCCTGGTCCTACTGTTTCATTCAGATGGATATGGATCCACACTTTAGGACCCAGAAAACCACGGATTTTGATGGATTTTTCTCATGCTTCAGTGTTTTAACGTGTTGGCGCCAAACCCCACGTTCGACCATATCCCACAAGATCTCTCCTCCACTATCTAACTCAAACATGACCTACACCATCCAAACACGCTACTCTCTGGCGACACAAGTAGGGAATGTAGCCTGCTGCTTTCCTGATATCCGGCTGAGACATCCATAAGTTTAACAGGGACGCTTTCTACTAGGGGAATCTACTTGTCATTAAAGGATCAAATCCCCCACCCCCTCTGAACTTCAGTTGACTTCCGGCACGGTCAAACGTAGGCTTTGCAGCGATGTTAACATGTTTTAACATGTTTTAACATGTTTTAACATGTTTTAACATGTTTTAACATGTTTTAACATGTTTTAACATGTTTTAACATGTTTTAACCATCCGTTCTGTACCCAAAGGCCCCTTTAGGCCCCCTTTAGGATAATGGCGGCTTGACCCAGAAAAATCATCGCCCAAGGACTACGGCCACTTGCTGTTTGAAGATGGTGAGCCGCTCACATTTGCGGAGTTCATGGAGGGTATGATGACCCTCCGAGGATCCAACCAAACCACTGTCAAGGCTGGGAGATCCACAGGTTGGATCTGGGGATTTTTTACATGGGGCGAAATACTGTACCAGGACCTCATGATGTAACCATTCACAAAAACGTAAAGCCTATTCTTTCAGGCATTTGGAACAGATTTACAGTATGTGGATAGCAAGTTTGGCAATGTAAAAACAAACCTGCTGGTTAACGACGACCACTTATCCTGCTCTCAAGCTCTGATCAATCTGAAGGACATGGTCGATTTGCGAAAGTTCACTGCAGAAGAGTTCTCCCATTTGCATGCCGTTCTTCTGGACATTTGCACCTTCCTCCAAAGTTGCTTGGCTTGTGAAGATGGGCCAACACAGTCTCGATATGTCCACTGCCATGGGCACATTACCTGGTGTTTCGCTTCAAGGTCAAGGTATGACCATTGACAGCCTGAAGACCGCAACGAACAGTGTGAGATTTTCGAGAGCTTCTCGGATGACGAGGGTGACGCACGCCAAAGCCTTCTGACATCACGGACGTGACCGGTTGGAAGCCACGAAGGACCGAAGCAGTGAAGCGGCTTCGGACTCACTGATCATTGTGTGTATGTGTTCTTTTTATCCTGTTTATATCTTTTTATTGCTCTACAACCGCCCAGGACATGTTCCAAGTATATTCGAAGATATTCGAAGAAAAATAGATGTTCGGTCGATTATTTGAGATTATTTGTTTCGAATATATATATAATATAATTATATATAATGATATTATATAATATCAATTATCATATCTATATATACTGTAATTATTTCTTCTTCTATATCACTGTTAGTCAGGAGAGGGTCTCCAGATTCTATGTCAATTCTTTTCCTCCCCCTTTCTTCTCCTCAAATCCAATACCGACTGCCGTATTTTTCATTCACGCACGCACTTGACCTGACCTTACCTACCCTGAAAAACAATCCGAAATTTCCTATAATTATTAATAATCGAATTTCAATTTTATCCATACTTTTTGTTTTCTAATTATAATATATGTTTATTTTATTTTATTTTAATATTTATTAATTAATTGAAATAAAAATACAGCCCGAGAACTGGTTAAGAATCCGAAAGCTTGAGTCCCAGGGTCCCTTAAATTTTTATTTTTAAATACAGACAATTTCCACCACAATAGGTCGAGGCACAATGGTTAGCCTGTCGGTCTTTACGCTTGAGGGTCGAGATTTCGTTTCTCGAATGTCTGTGTTGTTTTGCGCAACCTCTGGGGTTTGCCAGTATGGGATGTCCTCTGCCTTTTACAATCATACTACACATAGATTTTGAGTGAACTGGAAATAATCCAAGCATGTATAAAAAAAATGGGAGCCTGAAAAATTATTTTTTTGCAAAACCTTATTTGAGCAGAATTTTTTTTTACAAGTAAAGATTATTAAAGATTTATATAAAAATTGACCTGCACATGGTTGGATGTAGGCAGTTTGCTGGGGGGCGTAGGCTGGCGGAGACATATTTTGATTTATTTTGCGGCAGACGCCGCGTAGGCGACCGCGGAGTCGACGAATTGTGCAGCGTGGGTCAAGAATAAAGGGTCTAATGAGTATAGGTCAATACGACATATGAAATTTCCACCGTCCAATAAGGACAAGTAATTACTGTTAACTGCTAAAATAGTGGCTAAAATTTGAAAAATTGTGTTTTTTTAGTAAAACAAATAAGAATTGAAATGTTTTGTTGAATTTGGTTTTTGGAATAATTTTTGTTTATAAATCATGTGATTAGGTTGTGTTTAGTATTAAGAGTAATTTTTTTATACCGAACTAAAGTGGATATGTATAATGGTCAAAAGACGCTATAAAAGGTTTTAATTACGATTCGTTATCGTTACTCAAAACATATAATTTACTGTGTGTAGTGAGCGATACCTTTTTTAAGATTTTGTTTATAATTGAACCTTCTTGTTGGGTGTATGACTTTTTAATCTTTTGATGTTAGAGTGCGACACTGGAGTAGTCGTAGTGGGCTGGTCTTCCTGGGTAGTTGTAAGATGGCCTGTCGTTAAATATATATGAAATAGTTACATTAAACAATATTGATATATATATATTGTGGTATGGTGATTTATAAGGTATATAAGAAATTAATTCATAACGTATTATGAGCTTGATGATGGTGATGATGCTGATGATAATGATGGTGATGATGTTGATTTAGATAGTGATCGTACTGAGATATGTTGAAAAAGCATTTTTGTGCGGTTACGGACGCTTCTCCAAAGCCACCACTGTCCAGGAGTAGAATTGCAACATGGAGCTTGTCAGAATTTCGTGTTACTTGAAATATACCCCTGAGATCACAGATTTTCTGGTCCCCGTAGCGATGCCCGAAGCGATACCCCTCGATACCCAGAGCGATACCTGAAATCCATGAAATTAGGGAGTACCCCACATGGCCACTTGAAACTATATAACTTGTGCTATAGGTGGAAAAATATGGGAAGTATGAACAAGGGTACCCTTAAGTTCTTAATGGGTTAGTTCTTAAAGGGTTTATTTGGTCAGGGTTTTGCCGATTCATTTTGGCGTGGTATTAGGTTACAAAGGAGGCGGGGTGAAGAAAAAAAGGCGCCGGAAACAAGGCAGTACAGGTAAGACAAGCCAAGACAAACCAATACAAGCCAAGGGCAGCCTCCGAGGTCAGATGACCTGCAGTGAGTCCGGCTGGTGTTTAGCTGAAGCTGTCGACGTCAGCCTTGGTGACCACATAAAAATTTGAATTTCCCTGGAGATACTATCGCAAGAGGAATAAGAGTCCGATTCCTCATCTGGATCCTCTTTTTCTAGCAGAAATTTTGCCTAGTTGGTGCTGGGACTGTATGTAACGATAGGGGGCTTTGTGAAGCGATACCATGACCTTACCACATGAATTGAATTGAATTTTGATTGTCCCACATATAAGTGTAACGATTAGTTGATATTTCTATTTCCCTACCTGCTAGGTGAGGGTTGTTAGATTTTATGTCAGTTAGCTCCTCCTGCCTCGTCCTCCTCCTCCTCCTCTCCTCCTTTCCTCCTCTCCTCCTTTCCTCCTCTCCTCCTTTCCTCCTCTCCTCCTCTCCTCCTCGTCTTCCTCATCTTCCTTGTTATTCTTGTCGTCCTCGTCGTCCTCGTCGTCTTCGTCGTCCTCGTCGTCCTCGTCGTCCTCGTCTAATTGCGACCCGCGATCGACAGTGTTCTTTGCCGGACCTTAACTACGACCATCCATGCCCAGTATTCCCTGCCGGACCTTAACTACGACCATCCACGCCCAGCGTTCCCTGCCGGACCTCAACTACGACCATCCACGCCCAGTATTCCCTGCCGGACCTTAACTACGACCATCTACGCCCAGCGTTCCCTGCCGGACCTTAACCACGACCATCCACGCCCAGTATTCCCTGCCGGACCTCAACTACGACCATCCATACCCAGTGTTCCCTGCCGGACCTTAACCACGACCATCCACTCCCAGTGTTCCCTGCCGGACCTCATATAGGAAGATATGGGATAAAGAATGTGCAGAAGAAAATTAGAAAGAATGTTAGAAAGAATGTCAGGAGATATGCTAGAAGATGTGCTAAATAAAATGTTAAATTAAATACTAGAAGATATGTTAAATAAAATACTAAAAAATATACCAGATAGAATGCCAGAAAAT